CGGCGACTTACAGAGCCTTGTGTAACGGATTGGTGGATGACGTTTACGTGATTTGTAAAATCCTTTTATGATTTTTGATTGTAATTCAATGTTTCAAAATGTTCTATGAACTATGCCAAACTCAAATACAATAAGTCAAGTGGTACAATAATAATTAACAATGCTGTTCAATTTTTGAGATTTGTCTTGAATAATCTTCCTATTATGGCTGATGTTTGGAATTAAGTACATATTTAAACAGTTTGCGTGTCCGAATCTGTAGCGCTGATAAGAAATAAATTAAGTAAATCAAACATTAAACGTAAATAATTAACATGATTCTAATTAACTAAAAATGGATCATAAAATAATTATTACGTATTACAATTTAAGGCGAAATGTATGTCACCACACACGATCAAAAATAGTTGCCATAATTCTCTTCGGTTAATCTGATGTCGAAATTACACTCCGCTGCAGCATAATATGTTAAACAGTAGTTATTTGTATTTGCAAAATTACTTTGTCATAATAACTTAAAAGTACTGCAGTGTATGATTCGAGGTTTTCACGGCGGTGAGTCTGAAGATGGCTGTCTTCTGGGTTGTTACGTCGTGTGGTCTCGTAGTAGCTTGCCAGTGTTTCAGAGGTCCATGCTGCCCCCGTCATCATGGAGGCAGCAAGGACCTCTGAAACGCCGGTAAACTTCTACGAGACTACACAGAGCTACAACCCAGAAGACAGCCATCTTCATGTACTGCAGTACTGCGTTTCCGCAGATTACATCAAAAACTGATGTCAAATACAAATCCGACAGAATTAATCACTGTATATGAAATGTACAAGATGAAAGACAATACTTTCGTAAGTCCGATTTCTTTCGCAACGCGTAATTAGTCATTCTGAGCTAAGGAGAGGAAATAAACGAAATGTTTGACGGCGAAGATTTCGGCCCTACATAAAGATACAAATATGAAGATAAAATATACATTCCAAACTTAAAATTTTATTCTTTAAATTATAATGCGACAGAGTATAAATGAAATCTAAAAACTGGTAAAATATAAAGATACCTGAACTTTCACACCGCACTGAATTCAAGGGTCCCATATGTTATTAAATATGACGAACACACAATTGCATATTCATATTCTGGAAGAACGAAGGGAAGAAAACCTTCGGTCATGCTCCAGTTATCAATGTAATCGTAAGAATAAACCACTGTTTCCAATGGATATATTGGTAACGTTTAAAGTTCTCAAGGCGGGGAGTATGAGGATGTCCTTCTGGGATATTGCGCCGTGTAGTCTGGCAGAAATTTGAAAACGTTTTAGAGGCTCTTACTGTCTCCATCAGCGCTTTTATAATCGCCCTGATAATGGTGGCAGCAAGCAGGTTTGAAACATCTGTAAACTTCTACCAGACTACATGGCGCAATATCCCAGCAGACAGTTGTTTTCAATGAGTTCTGTTTCTCTTACAAAGTATCTTCAAGGTATTTTTTGTTCTTTAAATAGGCAATATATAAGTATTCATATAAGGTCGCTTCTAGCAGCGTGTGTCCGCAATATGACCACACAGCTGATAAACATAAACAATGCTCGTTATTAATTAATCATTCGTTTTAAAGTCCAGAAATGCCAAGTTTAAAAAATAAACGTATTATATTTTCTTGAGCACAGAATGTTCATCACTTATGAAAAACTTGTTAATTAATTGACATTTTGTTCTCCTCTTCGACTTCATACATTTTTAAACTTGTCTAAAAATGTATGTATGTTACCTTACCTTACCTTACATTACATTACATTTCATTACATTGCATTACTTTACATTACATTCAGCTACCACAGACCCATCTTAAGCGTAACTAATTCAAGTTAAATAATCAAAGTCTTAATTAAACTTATCTCAATTGTAAAGCATGTATAAAGGAAATATTTAGAATAAAGCCAATATATAAACTTCCTTTCCGTATAGACGTATTTACGTCAAATTCTCCGGAACCGTGGTTCCACTGACAACTTTTTCAATTCTTGTAGATCGTTTGACTAAAAATTAGCATGTATCACTAAATAAAGCCCTTAAAACTTTGTTATTTAAATAAGTTGTAAGTTTTTAATTTATAAATGCAGCATTCTGTAAATTTTAGGCATAACATAAAAGTGCATATTTTTCTCTAAGTCTGGAACTGGGAAAGAAATAATGTTTAAGATAAAGAGTATGTTTTAGTTACTTGCTTCACCCTGTGATTTCTGTTTAAGTCATTTAGAAGATAAGTGTTGTGTAGCCAGAACAAAAATGTTAAGACGTGATAACTCTTTGTACTACGTAAAAAATAAGTTGTTGTTTTTTATTTCTGCAACATCTGTGTTAATTTCCTTTAGCTCCAAAAATATAATTTATATCTTCATATAAAATGGGAATTCTGACTGACCATTGCGACCAAATATCATTCCCAACCTTGAATTCTGGAGTAACATCTTCCCCACTCAACGTCTATGTATTGGGTTCGCAGTTGTATTACTCATCACTCTTTCGGTTGGCACAGGTCAGGTTCTTTGCCGCCTCCTTTCACACTCCGTTTTGATTGGGTTTGAGACTAACAGAACCGAAATGTATATCTTGACGTGCTCATGGACATATGATTCCTTCACCCTCATATTCACCCTTCAAAATTCTCTTGCGATGGACCCACTAAAGCTTATGCAAAGCAAGTTAGAATTTTATAATACAAACGTACTAGTTCTAGAACAGTGAAATGAATGATGTTGCACTATTTGAAGATGCATAAGAGCTGTCTCATCTTAAAAATGTATATTTCCGTAGCAAACCTACCTTCCCACAGTTTACTGTCCACATTATGATTTCAAATTGCAAATGCACTAAGTGAACTGATGGAATTATATTTGTCGTGGGGAAGTGAGTTCCAGATTACGGTGCACTTACTACGTCACCAAAAACTACTTTAAATCCAAGTTGTGTAAGATTCAAACTTAATACTTTTAGCGTAAAAATCATATCAAAGAAATACAATTTTCCGAAGATGCATATGTATATAAAATCATAATTGTACATAGATGTAATATATAGCCTATATTAACAAGTTATTATATATTTGAAAAATGTGTGCATACAATAACATGTATAATAGCAAATTTCAATTACCGTATGTGAATTTTTATTTTTATATGTGTCTTAATCTTATACAGATTATTTAGTTCATTGTGATATATATAGACTAGCTCCAAATATTATATACACATATATATTAGCCATTCTATGTAAATCTCTTCTTCCATTTGTATATTATCTATTATTGTTTATTATAAATAAAAATAATACAACACGAAAAATTAATTGAACGCAAAACAAATCACGAATACCTATTCATTACAGTCAATATAACATGGCACCTTTAATTCCGTATATAATAACACCAAAGTTTACCACAGCGGTACAGCGACGGATTTGCTTCCTGGATTGTCTCTTTCTCTCAATAACTTTGTTGTTGTTTTTGTGTTTTATGGGTTTTTTATTTATTTATTTTTTAATTTTATTTTTTTATTATTATTATTATTATTTCATCCATTTCTTCTGGGAGCTCAGAATACGTAACAATTTCCACACCTCACTAACGCTACATTACCTCCGAAGACGATGCAGCATGGGTCTGCACGCTACAAAGCTAACGCCCTTTCCCGGGTAATTGTGCTACTCGTATACACCCACAACTCACCACCCACTACAGCAAACATTGCCCAGTTCATGCACAAAAGAATTGATATGGGTCATTACGTTTTAGCGTACCTAGCAGGAGCATTATGGAAACTTCTAAAAACATTTCCTTGACGAAAGTTTGATTGTTTAACACAATGAAAAACTCTCAAAGAAGTTACTGAGAGGCTAAGGTTATCAAATTAAGCAGCAGCACAATGACAAAACTGTGCAAGAAGAAACATTTTCTGTTCCAGAAATACTACGTTCTGACTATGCTGAGCAGAAATGTTCTGGACTAATAAACAAATGTCATATTCAAATTCTTCGAATTCTGATATTCAAGACTGTTATAAACAGAGACTGAAGATATCAAGAGGTAAGGTTAACTTAAAGGGTAATGCATAATGACTCTATTGTTTAAAATATGAGGTTTAGGCGTTCAGGTCTCGGACTGAATAGAAGAATGCGGAAAATATGGACCAGTTTCATTTGTTAAAGATCCACTACTTCCTTAAACATTAGTAAACTTATTTTACTTTATTTACGTGCACTCATATTTCCTGCTATGTTTACTCTTCAGTAGCCCAATATCCTTACCCCTTGACATCGTACTTAACAATCTTAGTAATAAGAACTATTAATTTTGTAGCGTCGTTCCGCATTTCGTATGTATAATCACAAATATTTGTTTTCTTACATTAAGGCAAAGCCAGCTTTCTAATTAGTTGTAGTAAACCATTAGAAGGGTAAATGATTATTCATAATTTACATTATCCAGAAACGTTTACACACACACACACACGCGCGCATATAAGGCCTACAAAAGCGCTCCTTTACATAAAATACCAACAGAACAAAGTAAAATAAAATAACAAAATGAATGGCACTCACACACGACAATGTATTAGGCTCAAGAATCTCAGGTTTGTCGCCCCTGAAGTAAATATAACCCCCTTCAACCCTCCCCTCAGACCTCACAGATGTCAATGATTATCAAGTATCTTCTATCCTTCTTGTGTTATTTGCGCTATAAGTTGCAAAATATGTAGTAAAAGTTTCTAATAAACTGCTTCGGAGGTGATAAAACTTTCGAAGTTCCACCGGACACCATGTTGAGTGATAACGTCATGTCATTCTGACGTCATGTTTTAAGGTGTTACAAAGAGGGTGTAAATAGCATAAAATGTACTAGACCACACAGCCTATCACGTTTCACCTACACCACGCTTTCTACCCAATTAAAACAATGTATTCAAGGATTATTTCAATTGATAAATGTGAAAGTTCATTATTTTACTCACGTTTCTCAGAAGACACGTCATGTCCGTTTTGGTTTCGTTGTACTTGAACACATAATTATATATTTTGCACACTCACACACACACACAGCACATAACAACAATGCCAATTCAGTGACGTCCACATAAAACCTACCTTTAACAACTGATACGTTAACAACAGTAATATCATGTAAATAATACAATAGTCCTAATTACTACCAACTAGCGACCACAACGCACCTGTCTCGTGTCTGCACGACAGTTTCGCTACCTACAATCAAGCCAGGCAACATGAGAGTAATAAAATACCTGTCGTTTACATTAGACGACGGGATTGCCACTGAACTCGTCCAGACTTGTTGATAGTGGAGAAAAGGAAGGGTTGACAAAAATGGTTCAGTGACGGAAGAAACAGCTAGAAAGTCGTAATGGTAGCAGTATGCAGCGCAGCGACAGGAAAATGCGGAAGCTTTGCCTGTTTTTTTAAACCAAACTTACACTTATGTACAGCAAAATAGGAATTGCCTCACGTTCTACAATTTAATTTATTTTTATTTCTGACTTGTTCTAATAACAAATCAAAGTCACATGTTATATTATGGACAAAGTCCCAGATCCAATAATACCACTTACAATCCTCTTCATCTGTTTCCTACACAACCACCGAAAACCTCCGAAACACATGCCTTATTTCATCAGTTCATATTGTTCAAACGTTTCTATCAACTCAAAAATGGATCTACAATTTATAATTGATTTAAGTTTAAGTGTTTTCTTACATCCAACGTCACGGGCGAATCCTTAGAATTCCTGCTTCATTTTCGGGAGGTACCGTCCATTGCGACAGGTTTATCGTGGATTTCATAAGTTCCTCAAGGGAAATGGCAGCGTAGTGTCTTAAATTAGGCCACGACTATTTCCTTCTGTATCCTTTTCAATTCCTTATCCATTAATCAACCTTTCATTCAACGCTATATAGTCCGAGATCTTATACTGTATCCATTTCAATTCCTTATCCTTTAATCAACCTTTCATTTAACGCTATATAGTCCGAGATCTTATACTGACAGCGTAACTAAATAAATCACAAATAAAAAATTTAAATGTCTTAATCATTGAGCCTTCTCTGCATTGTCCGTGTACGAATACACGAGGCAAACTGTATAATTACTCCCTTACCATTATAGGTCATGAAACACCGCTGATAAATAATTATAATTTGAACTTAGTTCTAAATGTTATTTAATCAACCACACAAACAATTTTCTAGTCAATAACGGTTTTGAAAAGAAAGCAAACTTTACAGGCTTCAGGCTTCAGTCTCATTCTTCTCTGCGTAACCCGTATTAAAATATTACTTCGTTCTTTTTCATCTTGCAATTCCTCTCAGCTCACGAATATCAGCACAGCAGCACGTGAATGTTGTCGAGATAACGACTACCAGTTTTCGTTTCATTTTGTTTATGTCATTCACCGATTTGTGAAGCATAAACCCCTCCCCCCCAAGTAACAGTTCCCACCGTGAACCTCTCAACAATGTAACCATGCATTTGGTTAACTTTCGTTCGAGATAATGAGATTTCTCGATTTCATGCAAAAGCGATCCATAGGGCAATCCTTTAATATAAATTTAACCGTAATGTATACTTGACAGGATAAGACTTATTTTATACGATCATGAAACACAGAGATATTAAAGACGTCTTGGTATATTTTAACTTACCATCCCGGCATTAGCTTGGTCCGACTGAGGAAAACTATGAAAATCTCAGTCAAGACGTCTAAACCCTGTCAGAATTCCAACGTTACCAAATCGCCGATTAGCATGGAAGCTTGTTTAAGGTCGCTATATCAGATTTTGAGGTTATTTAGCGTAGAATGAAATGTTACGCTGTTTGTACGTGACGAAACGAAAAGAGAGTGAACGTTAGTGACTATTCCTACATATTATCCTGGAATTTTAATGGAAGCATTGAAGAAAATTTAAATAAGCCTAAATCATAATACGTGATGTCCTGTCTTAGATCTGAAGTGGGTACCTTTGAAAGTTGGGCGAGCTACCGTTCCAATGAACCTGCTAATTGTGTATGAGGTATGAAGACAAATCGGAACACGATTCATTTCTAATCAATTTTATTACTACGACAGTGCTAAAGCCGTTTACTGTTCAATGATGGGCGGTACATGTGACAAAACAGGTATATACACGGAGTACCTTGAGAAACTGATGAAATGACGTCACAAAGTTTGAAAAAGAGGAAGTTATACAGAACAAAAGGCGATTGATGTAGGTCTCTTCGGAGCGAAACGTGACTGATGCAATTTATTTGACTCTCCATTCTAAAAGGACATACAATACAGGGCCAGATCTTTCTCCAACTCCCAGCACATTTAGTACGGGATTCTCAGGTTTTGTACAGTGTGTCCAATTTTACAACCCAACTCTTTTCTATATTATTTGCCCTCTTCCTCTCCCATTCTTCATTTTCGTCTTCAACCACCACTTTTTCTGGTTGTCTTGTGTACATTTCTGGGTCTTAGACAATGGAGCTGAGTAAAAAATGAAAATCACCCTTTGTTCACGCTATTTTCTATAAGCGGTGATACATGTGAGGGAATGTTTATACACTGATTGCCATTTTCTAGTTTGTTTCTTACATAATCAATACATGAGTTCCAGTGATTAAGACATACTATTTATTTTATCTGTGATGTATTTAACGATGCTATCAATATAACATCTCGGACTATATAGCGTTGAATGAGGTTGATGGTATCTGATATGTATAATGATCAGGTACTGTAAAGTGCTCGGTGAGCTTTTATTTTAATTGGGTGTTCTGTTACTTATCTATCAAGCTATGGCAATATAGGTTTAATGGCACTATATCAACTGTTGAAGTTCAATGAACTTAAAAAGGATGTGAGACTAGTCGTTTTAACCTCTTTCAAAGCATGGTGTTCGTCTAAAATCATAGATTCTATCAATAATTAATTTTGAGTCTTATGCCACGGAGCCTAATCGTGAAATAATAACTGAGAAACAGCATGTGCTTACTGAACCTCGAAATCGTCTCTGTAATGACAAGAAAAAATCTGTGGCAGCGATTCATCAGCGTTTGTTCAATAAATTGCATGGTGAAACTTTATACAGGAAGTTGGTCTGTTCGTAAAACAGATGTTGCAGACATTGATGTTAATTAACTGAAAATGAGCGGAAACTTGCTTCAAGTCATTTAAATGAAAACAGTGGGGAGTCCTGTCACAAAAGGCAACAGGTGCCAAAGGAACATTTAAATGTTAAAGAAAAATGTAGTTTCATAAAAATAATTTGCCTAAAATTGGAGAGTGAAACGTTTCAATTATTAAATGCAAACACTCAGTGCTTTGATGTAACAATACTTCAAAAATATTTTACACAAAGCCAAATTACATTTTAATTCAACTCCTTTCGATATCACTGGATCCAGAATTATCGAAGGTACATCAGTTATAATGACCAAAAACAAATAGAAATGTAAAACAGCACACATCACTCCCACACCATTCTACAACATGCAAAGATCCGAGCCAAGAGCTGACGAAAGTAGCGTAAACTTACTAATTTAATCAACCATCAGAGCACACTTTTCAGCCCTCAAGATCAAAACAAACACAACAAAGGTACTATATAAGATTTGAGGTTTTCACAGCGGCGAGTATGAAGATTTCTGTCTTGTAAGTTGTATGCCTCCATCATCAGGGCGATTCATCACCCTGATGACGGAGGCAGTATGACCTCAGAAACGTTGGTAAACATCGACCAGACCACACAGCGCAACAACCCAGAAGACAGAAATATTCAAAGGTACTATACCCTCTACTCAAATATAACTTTATTTTCAAGAGTAATAGAAAGGAATGATTCAGAAATACCCTGAACACCTTCAACGTCAGTACTGGAAATTCTAGTTCCCTGTGATCGTGGCATTAACCGCAATAACTTGGTAGTTGGTATCATCCCATATCTTGAGAAGCAAAGCTGGGCAGCACTTAGCTATGTCGGGTGAAATAAAATAACAAAATTGGTGAAACACGCAGCAAATTGTAAAGCCGTAGAGGCACTACTCATTCTTGAGCTTGGCACTAGACGAAGGCGAGCAGTCAACATAATCCCCAGTTGTCTTTTACCCCGGGGAGAGGACTCATTGGATAGTTGGATAGGAGACTGGGTGGGCCCTAAAGTCAGTCTGGACACAGACACTAAATGAAAAATCCTTTGCCCCTGACAGGAATCAAACCCCGTCATCCAGTCCCTAGTCAGACACCAAACTGACTGAGCTACCCCCAGCTAACACACAACATAGAACGAAGAATAAAAACGCATCGGACTGCTTTCATATATTCAATTTGTACACAAAATATATATAACCTAAAGCATACATTTCATAAGAACCTAAAACATCCTCATTTATGTTTTAAATGAACACAAGCTACTTACAAATCAGCGAGAAAAATAAAATGCTACTAAACCAACACATAAGTAAAAACACGACGCAGCTCACCCTCGTCTTGTAAAACATCGTAGATTTTTCTAGAAAAATTTTCACAATACAAGAGCATAAACAATGGTTCACATATCGTCATCAGGGACCACAGACGACAAAAGCGAGACGAGTCCTCATTCTGCCCTACAGTCAACGGCCAAACTGAGAAATGACATAACGGTCTTTTACTTAGACATGTGATGTTTATTCAATTACACGTAACAAAACAATGCAACATACTCGATGCACTAGCCGTATAAAATAGAACATGTCTGTTTAACTTTCATTTCACTTCATATTCAGTTGGGGTCAAAGTATTACAGTTTAAAAGAGAAGTCTTCAATAATTTTACAGCAGCAAATTTACAATTCTCTACAATATATACAATTAACAATAACACGATCTTAAGAGCCCTACTTCTTCTATTGTACTCTCACTTGCACGTACTTTTAAGGGCAGAGTTAAAAGGAATTCAATGTGCAAAAATATAATTACACCAGTTTTGTCACACTTATTGTACGATAAGTGAAAACGGTGCTTACATTAATTCAATAACAAGTTCACAATTACAAAGTCAACCACAAATTTTTTTTCCAGGCTTTACGTGAGAAACAGCAAGGTCGATTACAAATTTACTTCGACCTGGGTTAGAGCATTCACGTTAACCATTCCACCTCCATCATCCCCAACGACGGAGGCTGTACATACCTCCGAAATGCTGGTAAATTTCTACCAGACTACATGATGCTACAACCCAGAAGACAGCCATCTTGTACTCACCACCACGAAAACCTCGGGTCCTACACGTTAACTACAGTAGGCCACTTAACAGTTAATATAAATGCTCTACCCCTGCCTTTAATGGGTTTCTATGTTACAAATGAAAAAGTGTGGGAAACATTAAAGCCCTTCTGACTAAGGCGGAAAATAAAAAATTCTCAATAAACGTAGCACAGGCTCACGAATGCCGTACAAAATCATGTATTGACACATCTGTCACAGATTAGGCATGCACATGATGCACAGTTAATATAGATCAAAGTAAGAACATCCTCCAGGTTGGGGATCGGTCGCAAGGCTAACAACCTTGCACCGTAAAAAGGAAGATGTTTCGAAACCTCGATCAAAGCCTCGGACAGACGGGCCTAACAGAGAACCGAATGGAAGAGGAGAATTGAGGAGGCCATGGACAGAATACGGACCAGAGAGCCATAGAAGATGAAGTAAGAACATTTTAAAGGCAATTCTGAGTTAACAGGATATAACTGTAAGTTAGCATGGACTTTAGGACTGTCACTGAAGATCTTAAATAAAATGCTGTAATTAGTCAAATGATTTGACCACAAGACATGTTCTATCAGTTTTGTAACATCATTTTGTTTCCTCTGACTCTGTTCAAATACAGACAATTTCTGAGAAATTCTGACTCAAGGTAACACAAGTTGAGCTTTATCAAAAATTACTATTTTGGATATTAGGCCTATAATGAGTGTACACTTTATAAATCAACACTTACAAAATACCCCAATACCAAAAATCTTTATAAGAATCCTTCCCTTTTTGACATAATTATTGTGTTAAGAGGTCCGATATTGTGTAACATTAACATCAAAATAGCACAATGAAAAAAAATTCTAGTAAAATAATCTAATCCCCACTTAATGGTACCTGCACCTTGTCATGGTGGTGGGGCTTGAGTACCTCAGTGATCCCAAGAGCTACGCTGGCGGTAGCATAGCTACTGGTAGGGCCTCCCTAGCCAGATTGGTCGAGGGGGAGAGGTCAGACTAAGGCAGGTACCCTGGTCCTGCAGGTTGGGGGTTGGTCACAAGGCTAACAACCTTGCACCATAAAAAGGAAGATGCTTTGAAACCTCGATCAAAGCCTCGGACAGACGGACCTAACAGAGGACCGAATGGAAGAGAACTGGGGAGGCTACGGACCAAATACGGACCGGAGAGCCATAGAAGAAGAAGAATTAGTAATGATGGGGAGACTAGAACATGAATTACAAAAAAACAAAGCAGAAAATTTACTTATGAATTCAATTTGGTATATTAAGAGTATTACTAATTTGCACTACAGTGCCACCATAATATCTTATAGAATCTGAAACTATAGACGTGCAAAACAACAAAAACTATTGTAACTTACTATTCACAGGATATAAAATTATTACAAATGGCACTCGAATGTGAGCCAAAGAACGTCTTATAATATGTTTCAAAATAAAACACCATTGACTTCTGTTTCAACATCAACAAAACATGTATGTCAAAAATTTATCTTCTTCAGAATGAATTGTAATTCAAACAATATAAATAATAAATCAATATTCCAAAAATTGTACAAAGAAAATTATTAACTTCAATTGTATTCAAATTGAATTGTAGCCTGAAATAATCACAAATTCAGCCAACACACCTGATACATAAGAACCATAAGACCCGCATATGCATTTGTCGATAATGTTAGCGCTGTTTTTGATAATTCCACCACCCAACAACATGGAGTGTGAGAGACAAACAAATTACAACCTGTTCACACTGCGCTGAAAAATATTCACATCCAGAAAATAATTACTCACATGACTCAAGGGCCAGAATGGACTCCATCTCAGTGATATCTATAGAATAAGACCATCATATGACAAACCTTCCGATTCTGGAGATTCTAACCTATTCCGAAGATGTTCCAAAGTGTTCGTGAAATGCTTATTTATTTGTTCCGTCTCCTCATTAGCTTCTAGATTTGGTAACTCTTCTCGTATTTTGCTGATCAGCTGGTTCAGCATCTGTACTGTAACCTGCCAAAATCAAATACTAATATTTGTATTACCATAAAACTCTGATAAAAACAAGCAAATGGCTGGAAAGTACTTTTCAGTTTGCATCATTACTTATCAGTGTTCCTAAAATGTAACAGCTTTAAAAATCACAAACCCTGGAAATATATCAAGTGTGTAATTCATTACCAACCCGCACCATAGCCACGCGGTCTGAGGCATCGTGCTTCGGACCGGCGATACAGAATGCGCGCTGGTTCGAGTCTCGGGGGAGAAGAAATTTTCTCATGAGCTTTCGACCAGTGTATAGGACCGGTGCCAACCCAGCATCGTGAGGAAATTGGGGAGCTACAATGAGTAGCGTAATCCAGTCAGGAAAGCTAGAAATGGCTGGGGGTTCGTCATGCTGACCTCACATCACCCTATGTCTGGTTGGATTATCGTTCACTTCTACTTAGGCATGTGAACGTGAGGCCAGCAGCCAGCTAGTTGGCTTTGGCTCTCAGAGGGCTTTATTATTATTATTATTAATTCATTACCATATTTATTCATGTATTGCTGCTCCCAACTGTGTCTATCTTCACTTCATAAGAAACAATTAAAGTGCCAGCAGACGGGGTAATATCAGTAACAAGTAGATAACACACATTGCAGCACTTACCTGATTATTATCTTTCTCGTAGAAGTAAATGTAGTGATTCAGGAGTTCAACAAACAACTGAACTTGCACCGATGGGTCCATACATTGGTTTCCTATTCGAACACCTTTCTTGAGGCACTCCAGAACTCGTTTTCCTTCGTGCATCTTGGAAAGATAAATAACAAATCAAGCCCTCAACTATGGTATTTTATGTGTATTAAACTGGAAATTTGCACAGTCCAGAAATTGTTGAATTTACAGATAACGCTCATTTCACAGACGAAATAAACCAATACAATTGTATTTTATTTTACAGAAATAAAAAATAATTAGTATAGTCTACTTACAACACTTATTCACATTTTAAAATTAGACATTTTTCATGCAAAGACTACATTTACTCACTTCTTGTCCTTTAGTTGCAACATTCTTGCCAGACCAAAACAGATGGGAGCATGTGGCAACACCACGGCATTGATCTGGCTTCTTAAGTAGTTTTGAGGCTGCCAATGCGCATTGCGTCCTCAAGGGTTCGTGGTTTTCTTCACTAAAACATGACATCTGCTCAAATGTAGCAACAATAAGTGTGATGGCTGCTAGCTGAGCTTTGCTGTCTGAGATTTCATCCTCATACAGGGAAAATGCCTAGAAAAATAATTTTAGTTCAAAAAAACCATTACAACATATTAACATCATAGTACCTATCTTCCCTGGACAGTTTATAGATATATAACCAGATAGATCTAAGGCATAATTCCTTTTTGTTACTGTACAAAAAAAAATTAGAATGTTATATTATTATCAAAAAACACCTCAGATTGTGGTACATGATTTTATGACAACCTATAAGAATTTTTAAAATTATGTAACTATTTATACCTTCTCAGAACATCTTAACAATTCACAATACCTCTTTTCTTAAAGAATAAATTTACAATATAATTTCAGTCCAAGGTTATAATAAAATACAACCCATAAACTAAAGGCATAAAGCTTATAGCAGTAAAACAAAAAAACTGTGACACTCTGCTTTCCTTGAACAGCTGATGGAAACAAACTCATACGTACATGTACAAATTATTGTACTTACAGTAAACTGCACAATAAATTAAATATTCTAATTTTAAATTAATTCTATTACAACACTTCATTAACAACTGCATGAGCTCAATACAAAAATTCAGCATCCTTATATTTGTTTTCAGGAACAAACCTGGGACATAAATTCATATGCAACTGTCTCATGGTTCTCAAACTCCATACGCGCAACTGCGATAGCTCCTTGAAGAAAGAGTCGCAATGGAAGTTCTGCCAGCTCTGCTTTGATAAGAGCAGTGATTGTTTGGTGACAGAACTGGAAAATTTTTTGGCACTTCTTTTCCCACACCTCATCCTGGAAAGAGAAGAATGTTAAAATATAAACATAACAGTTCTACATCCAGCAGTCAATAAGGCGGTGCAGTTACATAATGTGTTCAAAGAAAAAAAAATTCTCAGGCAGATTAATCGAAATTCAACAGAAATGGATTTAGAACTCTCAAGTACAAACATTCTAATTATAAAAACTGTAGTTTGGCTCAAAAAACAGTGTGATTTTATTTATTCTGTCCCCAGACATTATATGCTGACTTACCTCTCAGCCCAGTCATTTTTAACAGTAAACTTATTGTTTTGCAGCATTGCATGGTAAAGAAATGAAATGCCATCAATCATTAACTCAAGGAACTGCAAAAAGTAGCTGCATGCATCATCTAGTGATAATAAATAAAACTGTGAACAAAGTATTCTGAAAGAGGCATTTTCCGTCTTCTAATGGCGTGATGCTGTCTGAAGGAGGAAGTCTTGACAAAGCACCAATACATGAGTACATGGTAGAAAATGTGTTAATCTTCATAATACATGCTGTTTATACTTATGACATGAAAAATCTTACCCCCCCCCCCAAAAAAAAAAATACACATGAAATAGGTATGTAATTCTTGAATTTAAAGCTCAATTTCCCAAAGACTTCATGATGGACACAGAATATTCCAATACTCAGGTAATGATTTGAAATTGTATTAAGTGTATTCATGCAGTATTCAAAGGCAGCAATAATTTTTAGGGACTTGAATTAACTGGTGATGAACCCTATAGTAGCTGATATACTCAGGACTGTTTTTCTTTGTACCCTTTTGTATCAAAACTAAAACAAAAAAAGTACTGTTTAAAAAATGAGTGGATAATATACAACAGGGTCTATGAATACCACTTTCAGATCTGCCAACAAACAAATTAAATGAGACTAAAGTCATGGTTCATGCACCATAATAATTAGATTCTTCACTGTAAGTTAAGAAGTAAAATAATCATTTTGAGTCTGACAATGATATGAACAACAGAATCAAATGTATGCTCAAAAGAAAACTGAGTTTTTTTAACTTCTCTACGATATCTAGAAAAGAAGACTGAAACAGTTTAAGCAAGCCCACGGTGAAAATTCTGCAGGGCAATAAATACACTGTGTGAAAGAAATTATTTTAATAAGAGAAATTTCGTGTTTTAATTATTTTTTCTCAGGCATGTTAGTTGCCAATTGTCCGTCATACATACCTCATTGCTGAGTGTCCTGTATTTAAAGGCAAGCTGATATGCTTGAAAAACTATAGGCGGTAGTGTGTACTTGATACGCTGGTTTCCCCCGGCCCCAAAATGTTTCCGTGCTGTGCTAAGGATCAAGTACTGCTGGTCAGGAATATCTGAGCGTAAGTGGTGTATAAACCTGCACATATTTGCATCAAATAAAACAGAATAAATACAAGAAGCCACAAACATGAAGATGTAAAGGGGCAGTAGACACAGTACGTGCATTGACTAATCAATAGTCAGCAGCGGAGGATGTGTTCTACATGCTCACAGCAGCATCTGCTTCATGGTCTAATTTTTAGTAATATAAATGCAAGTCCATATAATTGTTTTCTCCTGTATGAAACAGAGGACTGATTTCAACTACTTGTTGACTTTACTGACCTCCCCAGTAAACTCTGTTCCTCAGCAAAATCCTCTGGGTCCTCCTCTCCAGGGGGCTGGTCTGACTGATCTTGGATTAATGGTGAAAGCATTGTTAAAACAGCATCTACCTAGATCAATACAACATTGAATAATGTAACAAAAATCTGTAGCATGTTTGCCAAGATCTAAACACCACAATATAACTTCTTCTCACAGAAGACACACAGACTTATATTTATTTATTTGCAGTTTTTTAACGACACTTTTTCACAAGTTCAGACAAAATAGCATTGACACAGACTTCTAGTTTGATGCAAGTAATAAAAGTCTGGGGAAGCACATAATATGGTGAATTTGTTAAAACTAGTCAGGTCCTTAGGAAATGGGGTTCTGTTCGAGATCTAGCAGTTCAACACAATGGAAGAATAATGCATCAGGAAGTCTTGCCAGAATGTTTCCTGCCATTTAATATGGGTTATGATCTTAAGAGAGTCTATTTTATGCTACAAAAACATAATTTTCTCAACATCTGTTCAGTTTGTAATGCAAATGTCAAAGTCAAAAGAGAGAAAATAAAATTTACATAGCAAATTTAGTTAAGACATAACCAGTTTAATCCAAATGTGACAAATGGTTCTGGATATAATTAGATGCATCCTGAATACAAGAAAGATGTGTTATATGTGCATAATCCTGCTTAGTATGGAGAAATAACAGAAATTCATGTAAATCTGTGTGAAGACAGACTAAACAGAAATTTCCAGTAATGGTTAACAGAGTGATAATACTAAACTATCAAATTATTTAAATTTCTTACCTGCTCCTGCGTTGGAACTAGGGTCTCATTTTCAAGAGCATTAGTGACTAGATAAGCAGCCAAGTTCTTTCGACCATGATAGTCAAAGAGGTCTAATAGAGGGCCATAGTGCTGCAACTGGAGAACTGTTAAGAGATTGTTGTAGTTGTCAACTGGAATCCTCATCAGCCTAGTTAGTTCACGAGATACAGCAGTGTTGTATTCAATCCTGCGACATAACAACACTGCTTAAGTTTGCCAAATCAAGCCAACAAAAACACAAATATAACAACATAAAACAAAGCATATACCAGGTACTGTATGAAACTGTACTATTCTAGAAGTCGTGAAATTCAAGAACACACTCAACAATTTCGTCTCATATTTAGCCTAAGGTCCTAACTAAAGCGTTACAAAAAATATACTGCACAGTAATACATGTATATACACCTGAAAATATAAAAATTCAATGTACCACCACCCTTGCTTTAATGCCAATACTGGTAGTGGACAAAGTGCGGTGCTCTAATGGCATTTGACCATACACAAAAAGGAATGAAAGCTGAAAGATAGCTGAATGCTAAAATTGGTTGAATAGGCCTACTGACTAATGTACAGCACTTAATATTCTTTTTGCTAATGATGAAAGAATTAAGACCAAGGCCTCCAATAAATATATGTAAGTTAACCTTAACAAGCAAAAATACAGTACCAGGTAGGAAGAATAGGGCTACTCACCTGTCAACATTCATCTTCTGGAAGATCTGCACTGTAGTGAGCAAAACTTTGTCAACATAATCCACACGATCTGGGTAGCACTTATGTGCCAGGTTCACCAGTGATACTTGCAAGGACACAATGTCTTCAGGTGGCATGTCTTGTCGTGACTGTAACAGACGGCACAATGGGCACAATATGATTAACACACCATTATCAAACTGAACTTTTTATTTCAAGATATACAGATGGTAGAGTTTTAGTAATTTTCCTTGGAAAATGTATTTGGTTCTTCATAGGTAGGACAGAACATTTAACAGCATCACATTCCATTGTGTTAGGCATGGAAAAAGGTTATGCGACTGCATGCTGGAAGATATTTCTGTGAAGATAATGTATTAAGGGGATCAGAGGAATATTTTTACAAAAATATTGTTGAAATTAAAATCATACTGGTGTGGCAATATTATGGAAATAGACAAATACAGAATTGATAAATATGTTGTGGAGAAAATCGTGTTATTTTTTTACCATTATAGTAATGACAGCAAGTAATCTCTCACTCTGGTTCCTCCTCAAACAATAAATTTAAATCTAAACACATATGAACGGTGAATAAAACATAATACCTTGAGTAGTGTGCATAAATAGAAGCTCAAATTCTCTACTGTAGTGATTTAACAATAATTAAAAATGTAGCTGCTGTAGTAGCTGGTAAACCATACCTGAATAATAGTCGCAACCTGATCGGAAAACACGTCAAAGAGACGGACATCACTAGGGATGCCAGCAGACCCCACTGCGCTATCTGCCCTCTGGGAGAAGGTAGCCAGTCGATCAATGAGAGATATAATAATATTCTTGACATTTACTCCGGTTTGTAACTCTGCACATGATTTGAGAAATGCATGCAATGTCTGCAGGTGGAATTCATCTGGAAAAACCTGCAACAAGAACCATTTTGCCACATAAAATAATATGGTCATGCAAATGAGACCCTACACTAATCATAATTCACACTTACCTGTATAATACATTCCATCAGATATTCCTGTGCAATTGCATCTCTACAGCTGACCACTTGCTCTAGAATTCCAGGTAACACCAGCTGCAAAGGATAATTTAAGAACTTATAAAAATTAATCAAATTAAATAAAATAAAAATATTAAAGATAAAAATATTTGTATAGTACATTGTTCATTAAGTTCAGTAATGTACTGCCAGAAATGCATGAAACTGATACCAAGAAGTATGTATAGATGTAGTTTTACTGAGCATCAGAAACACATTCAGCATTTGACAAGTTACAATAAACAAATATAAAAACTCATATGGGCTTAATCCCTTCGAAATACAAATGTACTGAAAACCATTTATTACGCTTACCAAAATCATTTCAAGGAAAAACATACCGAGGCCAGTGGTTTGCACTTCCAATTTGTACCCAGAAGATCTCTGGTCTGCAGAATCAACATCGTGTCAAAGGTATTTCATGGTTTTATCAAATCCCACCGAATGATGCGATGTTGCATTAAAATAATTCCTCATCACTCTATTTCAGATCTTTCTCAATTTTTTACACAGTCATCCTACTACATAAAAATCCTATTGAGGAGTTTTCCCAGGGACCAAACAACTATCTGGTCCAATGATAAGTCCTTCTTCTTCTATGCCTCTCCAGTCCATGGCCTCCTCAATTCTTCTCTTCCATTCGGTCCTCTGTTAGGTCCGTCTGCCCGAGGCTTCGATTGAGGTTTCAAAACATCTTCCTTTTTACGGTGCAAGGTTGTTAGCCTTGCGACCAACCCCCAACAATGATTAGTTGGCTAAACTTATTAGGTTGTGGTTTTGTCTTATAGTGGATACACTAAAACCCAACAAATCTACACCGACATGCAATCCAGAATTCAGTGAAAGCAATAATCTATACTATTAAGATTACGAAAAACCAGGCTGTAAACTATAATAAATCGATGCAGCTTCAGAAAGTGAGGCAGAGTTTAATTTACAGAAACAATTACATAGTGACATTGAAAAATAATGTTGCTCATGTTCTATGTAACCATGAATGAAAATAAAGAGAAAAATGTTCACATTTTTACACAAAATCAGAACTGTTCAAGAAGGAAGATTTAATTTTATTTTAGGAAATATGAGTTCACATTTGCAGTGTGTAAAATAAATTTAATAAATTATTTTGATTAATCCACGCTGCCATGCATAATTCATCACCAATTTTACCATTCATACAATACACATTGTAGCCTGCAAAGTTCTTGGAAGCAAGTAAATATTTTACCTTCTTGTATTTGTCAAGGTTGACAGTCTCCAGTTGCGACAGTCGAACTAGGTTAGTGCCCACAAGAATACGCAACTCCTCCCGTTCACGTTCCCGTCGTTCCCTATCACGTGAGTGTCCCTGATGTTGCATACGCACCCACAACTTGTTCATCTCTGCAAAGTTCATCAGGACAAAGTCGATGGAATCCTTAACCTGTTCACAAGGTAATAAAAACACTATCATTACAACAGGATATAATACAAACACCTGTACAAAAAACACAGTATGCTACGATATTCTTTGACAATACAGAAGTTGTCATAATAACATTAAACTTGTCCACTATGACATCAAAGTTCTCTTAGACTTGTTTACAATAACAACATAAATCTCACTTTCCTTACTAAGAATACAGACTATAAGCAAACAAAAAACAATTCACTAAATAATACTATAAACATGGCACTGTTTTAAACCATACTGACTCCAGCATAATTCTTCCCACATGAGTCTCACACTTGAAATAAATTGTTTCTGTTAAGGATAACATTTCTGGCAGATTTGTTCTCAAATTTAAAACAAGTCATAACATTTTCATCCATAATCTTCAATACAGCCCTCATGTTATAAGTCCCCATCAACATTTCATTAAGAAAAAAATTACAATTATCAACATCATCATACCGAGCCTTCTGACTCATCCTCTGGCTCGGCAACATCTGGCAACACATTGCGTGTGCACTGCAACAAATAGTTCCGCAAGAACAAGCCTCGAAGAGGATGCTGAACTCCTCGACACATCTCTACCATGTCCTTCAGCAAATTGCGCTTAAGGCAAGTATTCGTCTTGATGTATACCAGTCCAACAGTGATCAACAGGTACCTGTTCAAACAAGAGGATGTGAAGCAAACTACTTTCTGGACATTACCTATAAGCTTCACTCATGTTACAAGAGTCTTCAAAAACCATGCTTCATGTAACAGCAAATAACCAATGAAACACAGTCAAGAAATATATTATCAAAATGCAAAACTTTAGGCTCCTAAAATGTATTTATGAAAATTCTGAAGGCACCATGTTCGCAATAGCAGGTATACCGGCCCATATGATTAATGAATATAGCCAATGATTGGACAATAAACATTATCACTTTCAAGTGTCTCTAAACCTAGTATTACCACTACAATAAATTTGAAATATACACTGTACAAAGACATCTTAAATAAATGCACGCATACATATACAAGTTACTTTAACTTAATATTAGTGAAAACATACTTACAATCTGGGTACAATATTTCCAGCATACTGTACAAGCTCATACAAATCAGCAACTTTGCGTCCCTTCTGGAATTCATCAAACAGGTATAATTCCAAATGACGAAGCTCATCAGTTATTGCCATATCTTATGTGTATGTTAAAGTGAATACACCACATATTATGAACAGATTTCATTGATGGAATGCACAAACTCTTCTGATTTTAACTTTGGATGGAACAAGAGTTTCAGACAAAAGGCAAACAAAAAAGAATGTCATATATATCACATTCCACTACATGTCTCTCGTAACTGCTTATGCCAGTTTTTTTATATTAAAACAGACTGTGACAATAAAGGATACATAATTCATAATAGCTCTTAGGTGATAGTAAAGACGTCCGCAATTCACCAAGCATAGTTGAGGCGTGTTTAAGTCCATCCATAAGCTTGCTTCTATCAAGACACATTTTCATTTGAAGTGCCTGAGTTTTGACAACTCCCAAAGCCTCGCCCAACAGCTTTTCCTGATCCTCAACAGGAGATAATTGAGGCGTCATTGGCTGTAACATCAGGAAATTTTAAGCTGAAGCAAGAAACATTACCACTATTACAGTAAATATGAACCTAATATAACATAACCAAACTCACATTTGACACGAAGTGGGCAATGCAATACATAGTGTGTTACAATTGTCCATAATAAAACAAAAAGAGTTAAATCACTGTCATATCCTAACATAGTATTATATTCATTTCATTTAAAACATACAAACTTAATATTACCATTTTCTCGATGTTTAAGCCGAAAACAAGCAACTTTCTAAAGATTGAACCTTCATAAATACTTCCGGTCGCCCAACAATAAACGATACGCCCCTTCCGTTCTAGTGCCACAATGCGCTGCCACCTATTATTAAAACTAAGATATTTTTGGCACGTTATACAAAACGGCTAGTTAAAAATTATCCTACGATTTGATGATATTGCAGGTTGATGTTTCACGGAATTTTGATACCGATGTTCGTCTTTTAGGTTATAATGTCGTGTGGACTTATAGATAGACACCAAAGTTTGGAAGGTTTCAACGCACTGAAAATTTGAGAGTTTCTCTGTCCAAAACTCTTATCTGTAAACATATCCATCTCATTCACACTGAAGTGTTCTGTTTTAATACAGCTTGTATAGATCTGACACTAGTAAAAATGGCTGTGGCATATCTTGTGTCTATAAGGAAGGGGCATTCGGCAAAAATGTGTTACGAAAAAGGGAAACGAAAAAGTGTAACGTCATTGTTATGTTACCTGGGAAACGAAAAAGTGTAACGTCATTGTTATGTTACCTGGGAAACGAAAAAGTGTAACGTCATTGTTATGTTACCTGGGAAACGAAAAAGTGTAACGTCATTGTTATGTTACCTGGGAAACGAAAAAGTGTAACGTCATTGTTATGTTACCTAGGAAACATCATCTGTTTACTCGGTATTGTTGTTACCTATAAAACATTACATTACATTACCTTACATTCCATTCAGCTACCACAGACCCATCTTAAGTATAACTAATTCAAGTTAAATAAGCATCGTAAGCGTAACTAATTCAAGTTAAATAAGCAATGTCTTAATCAAACTTATCTCAAAAGTAAAGCATGTATGAAGGAAATATTTAGAATAATGCCAATATATAAACTTCCTTTCCGTATAGACGTATTTACGTCAAATTCTCCAGAACCGTGGTTCCACTGACAACTTTTTTGTTATTATGATGATCACTCCAACACACACATTATCGCAAGTGTGCTATAGCCTGGTTCTTCATGCTATCCCCCACCAGCTTGCTCCAATAGGTGCTGTCATAGTCAAGCATCTTTATAAGACTTACCTTGTTGTTCCACATTCCAGATGCTAGTGCACTATGACAAAATTCTGGTTATAATGGGAACACAAAGAATTTATGGTAAAGGGGAAAATGTTAAATTATGAACTAATTTTTACATACCATGCGTTATATAGACGCAATGCTTATATTTTCTAGTAATACCAAATAAAGAGACAGTACAAAAGTCTTTACAAGTAAGGAAGTTTGATACTTGGATCATTAGATGTCTGAGAAATAGTTATAGCATAAAAAATATACCTCAGTTGAAAGTGTGACTGATATGAAAGATGCAGAAGGTACATTTAATGATTGTCACACTTATGACACACTCTGATACATGTTATGTATAGTACATAATTTGGGAATGTTTGATGAAGAGTGAAGTATGATAACTTTGACATTTAGCCATTTGCCATTATGACAATCTTTACATTTAGGCCTACTTATATCTTACTAACTTGTAGTTTTTACTCTTGCATATAACACCTTTAAATGAGAAAATATACATTCTTACAGTATAGTGTATTTACAAATTCACTGATGGAAAAATGACAGTATATGTCAGAATTTAATTAAAAAAATTAGATTTGGAATAACATATCTCCAAACAGTTTATATTCTAAAAATATATTTAATTTTTGGGAAAGAAAGATGAGTAGGAAATGCACAATCACAGACATATTATGTGATTGCAGGTGTTACATTAATATATATTTCACCAGATGAAGATTATTTTCACTAGAGAGCACTGACATTAATGTATTCACTACAGCACATTCAGCCATTTCTATAGCTTTTATAGCTTTCTATAGCTTTTGTTCATTTTCTTCAGGATTCATAGTGATAATACAAACAAAATTAAGATACAAAAGAAGTGTAAATAAAGCAAAAATAGAAAAGTTAATTCCTGAGAAAAATGTTAGGGTAGGAATCCATGATTTGTAAGTTTAAAATTTCTGTATGCCAAATATGATCCCATGTTAATTTGAAGTGTCTTTGCATTTGAGAAACATAAGCAGTCTGGAATGGATTCATGAATTAGTTATGTAACACAGCGCAAGCATGTGCGTACATACTGTTGTTCATTTTGTATACACAGTTTTGAAATAGACACGCTGCAGTAGGATCTAACTTAAACTAAGTAGAAATCAAAATGAGTTCCGTTATAACACTGCTGACTGGTAAACAGACAAACCAAATACTTATTTGAAAAAATGTAATGCCTGTATATTAATACATGCATTCACCCAATACAATATACACCATGAGTTATCTTAATTATCTCCTTGCTTTGTAATGTAAATATAGAAAACGAAAAAAATTATTAATTTTGAAACTGTAAATATATTCTCACAGAAAGCATCTAACGAACAAGCTACTTACAATTTTTAGTCATGTTTATGTATTATCTTTATATCAAGATAAAAATAGCAGCAAATTTTTTTACTACTTTTATAATTATTTAGGCCTGCTCTACTTCATATGGTTCCATTAAAATATATATTTTTAGTGGACCTTCTTATTTGTCAACATAATACATGAAACAACAACAATTGGCAATATTAAATACAAAACATAATATCACGTTGAATATCATACATATCGAACTTCAAGATGCACTAACCGCGGCCAATATTGCTTTAAGTCTTTCTTCACACATAAACAATGTTAAAATGATCATTTTGAAAAGAAAGTGGGAAAGTGCCCATATACTGTCCATTAGAGTTAAGCAAATACCTGTGATGTAAGCAGTCCAATAGACACGTGATGTGCACATGCATATCCCCGTATTCATAAGTAAAAAACAGTCTTTTATTTCTCACACATCTTGTTTTCCACTGCTACATCACTGTATGATATCATTATTCATTTATTTGCTTCTTATTATTTCATTATAGATTTAGTGTAATAAAGTATGCCTTGTAAACATGGTGAGATTATTCTCAGAGAATAGAAGAGAGAGAGAGAATTTATTAGGCAGTTCTGTGAAAAGAAAACATCTAAAGTATAGGCTCAGAATGTGTGGGGCTATACCACATTGTTCTCTACATATTCATGGCATATGGGCACCTTCTTGTTATAGTCAAGATAAAACATATAATAAATTAATGAAATAACACAAACTAACAGGGGATTAAGTTTCCAATTTTGAGTATTGAGACCATGTTTTGGTTCACTGGTTTAAAATGTTTCAAAGAAGTAAGCGGTCTCTATCGTTCTGGGCGATATGACTGAAATCAGATATGGACCACATTTTATAAAATGGAACTGTGGGGAAATCTTGTAAAGTGGCAGATGTGAATACATATTTGCAGACTAAGATTTTGAAATATAAGTTCCTCTTTCTTGGACACAACTTTAATCCTAGAGACAGAAACGGCAGAGCAGCAGTCCAGCACTAATTATAAACAGGCCGTATGCAGACTGGAGTTCTGTTACACTCTACTCACGATGCCTATGGAGTGAACAAAGACACATGCCTGGCAGGTGATGGCAAGAATTACCTGCCATGTGACAAAGTTCCCATAGGCAGGACTCAAATAATGTGTTTCTTAAGCAGAATAACATACAGACTAGAAATCAATCAAAGTTTATGTCCAGCACTAAATCTTAAGTATTTTACTGACATCAGGACAATGACTGATATTTTGAATTTCACAGCATTTTGGCTTACAATGAAGTAGGTTTTCATTTACTGTACCCAGTTACTTGCCCATGTATTTTGTACAGTAAGTATTATAATCTGTTGCCATGAAGACGGAGGCTTCTGATTTCTCTGAAACACTGAGACACATGTCTGTTACAACACCGCCATCACTCACAAATGAAACATTTGTGACCCCATGTTCATAGGACATTTTTTTCTTATTTTCGATACTGGAACACGCACAAGAAGTTTGTAAACATACTTCTGACTCACCCTGTATAATTGCATTCTAATTTATTAGGTAAACAATCAGTTATAAAGTAAGGCCTTTTAACACCATATAGACTTGTAGGTGCATTCCAACATATGTGAAAAATATACTGTCTACATTTTCAGCCCTCAAACAAAATGTTGCTATGTACCAGTGAATCTAGATGGTGTCACAGCCTAGAAAAACAACACCGTCATCCTCACTGCATTGAGACGCTCAAATCTCAGAAGACCTTTCAAATACCCTAACATAACAAGCAGTTATGACAGTTGGCTTATGAAAACTGTATTATAATTTATGCACAGATTGCTTTGCGCAACAATTAAAAAGATATCAAAACTATAAAAACTGTGTTTTAACATTTTGCTGCAGAAGAATATTTAAACAGACAACAAAAAGCAGCAATATCAATGCATTTCACCTGACATAGCACAAAAAACTAATACACCTGCTACATTTTAACCTCATTTCTATGATGATTAGCAGACATACAAGAAAATGTAACATCTGACAACTAATTAGGTCATACAACACAGACCAGGACTGCAGATTCAGTTTTTCAGGGAAATAAATTGCATTATTTCTCAATTTACTTACAATTCACAAAGTTGTGACATTTGCAGCCACAAAAAGTAGCACTAAATATTCCAATTCAAAAATTAAATCAACCAAATGACAATACTATTTACCAAAATTTTCACATCTCATTGTCAGATTTGCATACAAATTATTTTGAAAAGTTACTGAGTGTTACAAGAAGTATATGTTCATATTCATTTCACTTGATACTCCTTCTAGCATAATCTTAAAAATGGACCCATTCCAGATTAATGAATAAAGAGTGTAAGCTTCTCCATTAGCCAAAGAAATGAATGTAATTGACATAAATAATTTTACATTCCCTTGCCTTTAAGGTATCATATGATATGAAGTCAGTGGTATGCTGTATTCAATGCCTGTATCAAAATTCAATTGAAAAGTGGCATGTTCAAAGTTACAGTCACAAATTAAAATATGGTCCTTTCATGAAGAACGAGAATAAGGACTCTCATGCCTGACTGAAAAACTGTTTAGGCCTATTCATCTTCATCACACAGTAACAGAGGGGTTTAAACCCCTGTAATATGGGGCTGCTGGCCAGACTTGAACTCCAGAGTTAGTGCGTCATGCTAGAGTGACGCACAGCCAGCTCAACTGCATGTAAGCAGTGACACACAGACAATAAAGGTTAGCTGTTCATCTGTAAAATGTTTGGTATGTATTTTCATCTGTCACAAAAGAACACTTTGAAAATCCAAGAGAAACTTATTTAATACCAAATTAATGTAATGTAGATTTCTGTCTTCTAGATCTGCCACACATTAATATATTTGTTGTTGGCTGTATGGCAGAAATAGTTTCTCATCATTAAAGATGATAATATAAAACTACAAGATGATAGCATATCATAATTGCTGGAATTTTATTTAAACATGATTTGGCTTATAGCTGGAGAAGACTTATATGAGTTACACAGCAGCAAAAGTTTTAAGGTTCTTCTTCTTTGTAATTATATCACATGACTGATGAATGGATAATGCAAATTTATTAGCCAGGAGAGGAAATTTTCCAGATTCCAGAATATGTTTCCTACCTGTCTCAAACTTCAAATAGTACTTATGAACATTGGCTCATACGGAATTCTACAGTATAGAACGTCCGCCAAGACAACTCTTTAAAGCTCGGTTGTACGCATGTGTACCACTGCATTAACTTACATTATCCTTGCATTTTAAACACAGTGTATTTATGTTTTGCATAAAATTCTCAGAATAAATATCTACATTTCCCTAAACAGCATTAACCAAGTGGTCTTTGTAATGGAGACACATTGTGTTTTCTTTGAGGTAAGAACTGAATTCTTCATACAATTGAGACGAACTCATACTTTAAAGAGATAAACTGCTGCTGTTACTGTGTGTACTTGCAGAGCTGGCTGTAGTCCTGTGCACGCAGTACCAACTGAACAGGGATAAATTACCACAATACAGCCTTAAAAGTTTCTACATATTATTAGAAAGGTAAGACTTTGCTATCGTGGAAGTTATGTCTACTTACGACAATGTTTTTGCTATGTAGTTTATAAGACATGCAAATTCTCACATGACTTTGATTTGCTGTCATTCATACACATTTTATTTAAAATCTCACGTGCTATATTCAAAGATAAAGAAGTTCTGGAACCATGGAGTCGTGAATTGTTTGGGTTTCTTCCACCTTTACTCCCACGACGCAACTGTCGCTTCTTCTCACGGCTTTCTCGAAGTCGAATCTGCTTCAGAATTCCAACGAGTAACTCATCTACATTGTGTTGGATTCCGCTTGACGTCTCAATGAATTTACAGTCGCGTGATGCTGCCAGAGCCTTGCCCTCTGAGAGAAAACAAATTATCATTATTATGATGTACTCTAGATTATGTTCTCACTAGACATCACAACAGGCAGGCAAACCCTCAACTTTCAATGAAATACACAGCAAAGGAAGCAGACCACAGAATAAGAAACAAATTTTAAATGTAAAAGAACAAACGTTAGAAAGAAAAATGAAATACGGTTTTGTGAATATATGGGTTAGAAATGAAGAATACCACAATATTCAAATGATTCTTCATTAAAATCAATTCAAATGACAATTCAGGTCAATGGATATGATGGAGAGAATTTTGGAATTTTCGAAAGGTATACACAATTGCAATTTAAAATGGAATCTTAAGAAATACATTCTGAATTGGAGCGGAGAGCAATCTTTTACCCTCTTTTTCTACTGAGTGATTTTCCTGAAAAGAAAATAAGTTATAGTTGATTCATACTGATTCTTTCGATAGTTATCGATATTACTTGGACACTTTGTGTAGATCCTATATTATGATAGGACAGTAGCCAGAACACAACTGTTCATTTTGTCTGGTTTGCGGCTAGAAAGAAAATAAATCCGTACACTACATAAACCAAAGGCATTACCGAATAGGACAGACCTTGTAGCAGACAGGACGATAGTATGAAATGTATCTTATAGAAACAGGATGGAAGGATCGGGTCTTGTTAAACAAGATGAGAGTTGTGTATTACGAACATAGCAATGCGCATCAGGGTTCCATAAAAGTGGAGGGGGGTGGATTCTTGACTAGCTAAGCGATTACCTTCTTCTGAAGCACTTTGACTTTTGATCGTCTTCCCAATGATTCTGTTTCAAAACTTTGGTGATTAGTTTGGTACATCCTGAATAAAAGTTTGACACACCAAACCTAATAAAGAATGGCCAAGATGAATGAATAAAGGTTTTTATCATTCTGTATGATAAAGACGTAAGGTACTAAGAATACAGATTTAATGTAGATTAGGTCTGAAAATGCATCTTTTACTCACCGTTGGTTGGAATAACCCGAGATCTGGCAAGGTCCGCCTTGTTACCAACAAGAATTACAGACTTGTCTTGAGTATAGTTCTCGCGCCAAAGGTAGTTGAGGATATCTTCTACAGTTTTGAAAGTGGCGCGATCCACAACGGAGTACACTACGACGCATGCGTGAGGTTCGTAAGTCGACAAGGAATTTTCAACCTAAAACAGACAATACACAGTATGATGACTTTGAAACTTCTTGGAAAACGGTTTTTACAGCGCGGACAGGCTAGCAGCATCAGACAGAACATTTTTATCATATGTTTCACGACATGCAAGATGTTCCTGGCTACAACAGTAATTTCCGACTACGAGGATGCAAGGTCGACAGTACGAGGTTCACTAGGTCTCAACGATGACGGTTTAGGCTAAAATCAGCACGGTGGAAAAGGTCGTCACGATAGAAATCCAGCTGAAGATGTCTTCTGGTATGTTGAGTCGTGTAATGTGGTAGAAGTTCACGAACTTATCAGAGGTCCTTGCTGCAAGAATAAATGGTAGCCATCTTCAAGAATCAATAAATCTAAGTCATTTATATCAGTGCCCTTGGATAAGACAACGAAACCAAGCAAGGCAGGCAGTGTGTCCTTCAACGAGACAGAGAGTACTTTTCATTAACATACGAACTTGAAGCAATGAAAGTTTCTGCCGTGTGACCTTTAACCAGATTGCAAAGCTACAAGTGAAAGTCTGTCCTTGGGGTCGTCGGCCGCAGTGCGTCAAGCAGTCACACAGACAGTGGAACTGTGAACTGGTTAGCTCAGCCACAGTGTACCACGTCATATTACAAGGGGCGATGAACAAGATTGTGCAATTTTCCTAGCTCATAAATCTCCGTCAGCGGGCGAACCCTCTGGCCCGAATTGCTGACATAAATCACGTCACACAACTCCCTCTGCCACGGGACATCCCCTTAACTAAATTCAAATACAGAGTCTGTTTTCAGTATGTTAGCCGGGCTAACAAGGCTAAAATGGTTAACACAAACGTTCCGCATCAAACAGAAATCAACAACGTGGCGGGTCGACGAAGTGTGGTTACATACGTATTGTCATTTTGCTTATTTATGCTTTAGATCTAACGATTTGGTTCAGGAGGTAATCTGGCAAGCTTTAGACTAGTAGCCTACGTGACTCATATCGATTCTTTATTACGCGAATTTTACAAACTCTTAATTCATGGAATTAATGTCTTTGTCATATTAAAATGAGGTATAGAATTCTGAAGTAATAAACAAGGTATTTCATTTTTAGTCAATTTAACGACACATATTAATCTCGTAGACATAATTAGCGCTATGGATTTTTGTGTGTACCGGAAGGTTTCCGAAATGAATGTAATAAGAGACGTATATTATCAGCATACTCTGGATGCTTATGCCCCAACAAATTAATATGGTTAACAGAAAGACTCTGCTTACGATGATGGTGTAGGGGAAAACGCAGTCCAGTCACCAGACTGCAGGACGAAGTCACAATTCAAAATATCCAGTAAATCATTCGTAAATTTGAACGTTGCGACATTGAACTCGACTAGGAGAATGAATAGTGTATATTCGATTATGGGAGTAAATGTCTTGCAAAGCGAAAACCCTGTTTGACCACTCAATTGACATAACAATATTAAAATTGATATAACTGTCCTCTGGGTTGTAGCGCCGTGAGAACCTCAAATCTTATTTGATATTAAAATGTATACTACTGAAGCAGGTTGTGAAGATGTATGTTGGACTGAACTAGCGAAGACAAGATTTGAATGCCAGGAATTTACTGCAACAAAGTCAAACCTTCCAAAATCAGATTTGATGTTTTCATGCCGATGAGTCCGAAGATGGCTGTCTTCTTGGTTGTTGAAGAGTGTAGTTTGGTAGAAATTTATCAACGTTTCAACGCCCTGATGACGGAGACAGCAAGGATCTCCGAAACGTTGGTAATCTTCTGCTAAACCACACGTCGCAATAACCCAGAGGAAAGCCATCTTTAAACCTTCCGGTAAAGTTCTAATAACAGAGAATCGATCATTAAAGCCACTTCAGTTAGAAGAAATAACTACCACTGGAGGAACAATGGAAAGGAGAAAACAAAGTTAAGTCTTCCGCAAACCCATCGACTGAGTCTCGAAGTCAGACCTTCTTTGTGGTACACATGTACTGAGTGGAAAGCTACGGATACGATCAATCCATCTGTGGTATTCACCTTAGAGAGCAAACGAAGCTCGGATTGTCCCACAGGAAAAATTACAACACAGCAAGCCAGGCCAGAAAACTGGCTTCTCGTTAGTTATTCGTAAAATTGCTTTCTAGTCCTTCAAGATTGATGTGATGGACGGGGACTGTACTTTAAAAATTACGACAATTCGGACTTTCTGTAAATTACGTATTTCATCCTTTACGTATGTGAAGAGACCGTGTGACAAATTTTAGGGCATAATTTTGTATCCTGTTCCTTGTGACACATAAATAAGTTATTCTTTCTTTCTGTTAAAATTTTAAGTACGTCAACTGTTTCAATAACATACTTCTCAACTGATGCTGATCACTTTATACATTAACCCGCAGAAGGAAGAGGCAATAAGGAAACAGGAAGCCGGGTGGGTTTCATATAATAGGTTATAATGACAAGACGTAATTACTTTCAGTATCGTTTTCCAGATAAATCATATTGTGCTAATGTGATTAACAACGGCAAAGTATCTTGCAGAGTGAAACATGGCTTCCATGCCAAAGTATGAGTGATGCCGGTATTTCGTAAGAGTTTACTGTCAATCTGAACTATCCTGGGGTCGCAGGGGTATAAAGGCGCAGAAAAAGAAACCCTCGTATTTTTAAGAAGTCTAACATCGGCTAGGCCAGACAAAACAACAATAGAGGACTGTAGAAACAGATAAATCACTTCTCTGTCAGATCGCTGTCTGCGTGTGATGGGGTGTGAACTCTGCGACGTGGGACTCTGGTACAAAAATACACCATCTACGTGATTAATCACAATGTGACATGCAAAATAATAGCTAAAGTTGCACATTATTACATTTTGATCAATTACTCTTCATGACATGTGGACAAGGAGTAAATACGAGGGAGTCAGTGGGTTCAGTACCCTGTCCCAGGATCAATAAAGCCGGAACAAAGGACGAAAATTGTAAAACGCTGCAAATCCTCTCGCACGAACGCACGTAAAAGCCTTCCTGATGGAAACGGAAATTCAATGTAAATGTCCTTTACGTGTATTAAAATGAGCCGCCCTGTAAAATAGGTTCCATACGGAATTAATTCTCTGCTATAGCCACAAGGCTACAGACATTCATTACAGAAAGAACTTGAGTTTCCCCGTCATTATTCCCATTCAGTTGGTGGGTTAATATAGATGATTAGCTTTCCAAAGTATAGTTTACAGTATACTAATCATTCCAGGAGATATCCCCACACGCAGTATAAGTGATACGTGTTGCTTGTCGAAATCGTACAGCGCATTTGAGCGTGAAGTGATCATACCGGAACGGTAGCGATACGATATCTTTTTTGAAATTATTGTTCAGAAGCAGGCGATACGTGTCGAAAACAATTTCTGTTTCATCCAATAAGTCATTTAGTTTGCAGAGCATCACGACCATTGACAAAGAACGAAGTATTAAGTAAGTGTAAATTATAGTTTCTCCGATGTAAATTTTACCTAAATAGAAGCTGAGAATCCTGTTAAATCTCACAAATGCACAAGACTTGCAAGTCACGTAATTGCTATATATGTAGTGTACATGTACATAAACTTACATCTCCCATAGTTATCTATGTACATCAACGATCCCACACGCAGATTTAATGCTGGTTATTTATTTATGCCAATTCATTATTAAACTGACTGTTAATATTAAGTCATTTGTTCACAATTCCCTTCTTTGTGCAAATTACGTAATTGCCAATTGTTTCAGAAATACAGTAGCGAACGTTAGTATCCCTGCATTCTTATTTGGATTTCATGTACCAAATACTGCTTTTTATTTTATCAATTAACGATAGTGTTTTTCCTTTTGTCTATGCCGTCATTGTAACAAAAAATACAAAATTACAATTTTTGTATGACAATTTAAAATCACAATCTGCGAAAATGCACATAAACACCGGTAAAGTTCTTTGTTTTATATAGAAAGAGCTGGCTAAGTGCACATACATCAAATCAATGTCACAACAACAAAAACAAAACGTGTCTAGAAATGCCAAAATGTATGAATATTTGTATCTAAGTCTCTCGTTTTGCCAATATACAGTGTCTCATATAAATTCTTTTATGTGTATCCATATATAAATGTACGTATGTACAAGATGTATCTAGAAATGTCAACACGGGAGGCATTTTATACAAAATGTATGATCATTAATGTCGGTTGATGTGTCGCGATATCAATAGACATGCATCTCATGCAAGTTCTTATACACATTTCCAGACATAAACTACTTTTGTAAAAATGTATCCAGAAATGTCAAAGCGAGACATGTCTCATGAGCATTTGTATGGGCTGAGATCTGTCTATAGACACGCACTTCATGAAAGTTCTGATGTAATAACACATAAAGGAATAGGTTTGAATAAAAATTTCCTTGGATATTATCCATCGTCTAGTAAAATATAAAATATAAAACGTAAAACGACGTTTCGGAGATGGGACTCTATCTCCGAAACGTCGTTTTATTTTTTATATTTTACTAGACGATGGATAATATCCAAGGAAATTTTTATTCAAATGAATCTTCACCATCGTCAAGAAGTTTTAGATAAAGGAATATAGGAGAATATTTTTACAGAAGGGCGAAGGAAAGTGCAGAAGTATTGTAGGAGTTTTTTTTAGGGATATCTTGGCTTGCAATTCTTGTACCAACTTAATCTTGTACTGTAATCTGCATGAAGCTAGTTGTAAATTTAAGAATAAAATCAGGGATATGTAAGATGGAACAGCGGAAGGTAACCGCAAGTTTCTAGTAACAATAATAAAGTATGTGTAGTAGAAAATGTCGCCCTTAAAGTTACTTATATTAGGCTGCGGTCTGCGAAAACCTGGTGTATAAAGAACTCAGCTCAATTAATTAATAAATACCTGAAAAATTAAGAACAGAATAACGTAAAATATTTCACTACGATAGGAAAAACGATAGTCCTTGAGGTTCTATG